TACAGGGAGTTTTGAAATTGCTTGAATAACCATGTCATAGAATTGCTTGTTACTATTACGACTACTGCTAATAATAATAATAATTACCTTTAGGTGTAAAATCTTTAAGTATATCTGTAGTAAGTCTCTGTTAATCTCTTATTTTTCTCTTTTAGAGTCTTAGGAAATGGTTTAGAGGTGGAACGACTCCACCTCAGACATTTTTTCCACCATTTTCATTCCAAACGTGGAATGTGGGAAAACAAGAATCAAGGCTAAAAGCAAATGTTTTCCTTAATATAAGTATAGGTATACCTTGCGTATGATTTTTTTCCCAAACCAGTTGAGTACAAACCTTCCCCCCGCAGCCGATTTCATTGCTCAGTCACACAATTCAATCAAGCAGTCATCTGTTAAGACAAGACTTCATGGATTCAACTGGAAAACAAATGGATGGATCTTATTGCAACAACCAGTATTGCTAGCTGTAAGGACATGCTACCAACTCTATACTAAGGGTGTAAATTAAGGCTAGAGGATGGCATTTGTTTCAGCGTTGTGTAGACAATCAGCCCGGTGACTGACATGACCATTGAAATCCAGAACTGGCTGCAGGGTGGAGTTTCACTGGTTTAGTGGGAAAAAAATAAAAATAAAAATCACTAGCTCTGATGGCAGCCTTTACTATCAGAATTAATTTTGGCCTTTTAATGAAGTTGTTGGACTTTAAGTCATATAAAAGTAAGTGTCATACTCTAAGAAAATAGTAATATACACACATCTGAAGGCTAATATTTATCCTTTGTTAGCAATTATTTTTTCAGCTTCAACACAGTTATACAAGGTTCAAAACAGGTTTTGTGTGCTTAGCAAATGACCTTGGGCACAGTTTTGTAATTAACCCAAATATTGATTTAGAAAAGTAAAGAAAAGAAACCTTGAATACTCAAAAAATGGCTGTAATAAATATGAAATAATAAAATAACAAAAGCTTAGGGTCGATAAGCTGTTTTAATGTTTTTTAAGTCTTTTATGTGCTCACCAAGGCTGTATTTATTTGATTAAAAATACAGTAAAAACTGTAATATTGTGAAATGTTAAAATAAAATATTGTTTTCTATTTTAATATATTATAAAATGTAATTTATTCCTGTGGTGGCAAAGCTGAATTTTCAGTAGCCATTACTCCAGTTTTCAATGTCACATTATTTTGAACTTCTGAACAGTAAAGTATATATTTAATGTATGGAGGCCCATGCTCTTTTATAGTTGTCATAAAAGCCATCTTTGGTCTCTTCTGCCTTTGTGTTCATAGTGGAGGATGTGTACTCAAATGTTCTTCAGGTTAAGAGATTAGTTGCAATGAACAAATGGTCTAAAAAATATAGTGTGAGACACTTTAGATGATGCCAACTTTAGACGTCGCTACACCCTCAACTTACAACTGAAGCCTGTAGAAAATCCCCAACAGCAATATCTTAATCCATGATCTTATTTGACCAAACTAAGACTTTATCCAATCACAATTTAGTACCACTAGCATTAGTCAATCAACCAGTAACAAGAATTTTATTTCCATGTGATGAGCAAAAGACAAACTGCGTACATCTTAATGAAAAACACCATTCTCTTGTCAAAAATAATATTTAAAATGTGTGTGGAAAAAAAAATAGGACATGATAAAAACATGATAAAAGAATATACTTTCTCATCAAAGTAATTACATTATAATTAAATACACTGATTAAGTTGTGGTAATGTTTTTCTATTTGGTTCCTAGCTGACTGTACATTATTCAGCTTATCACAAGGCTACTTGACAAATTAAAATAATTGTAGTATGTTTAAAGTAACTATAATCTGTGATCATGATAAAAAAAATAAAGAAAAAAAAGTGTGTTTAAGTTGAATTTTTATTTTATTTTCCTCATATTGAAAAGGCATCTTTTGTTTTTAAATTGATATTTGCAAGAATGTGTAATTAATATCAGCAAATTGAGTTTTAAAGTGGTGCTCAATAATGCAAAACTCACCTTTACAATGTTGAAGCTGCCATGACAATTATTACATCAAATTTCTCATTGTTGCAGGGCAATTGTAAGGCTTTTCTGGGTAGTTGCTAATGCATGGTTGCTATGGTGTAGCTTCTAAAGAGTGGCTACGGTTCTCTGCTATTGTTCATCAGGCATTGAAAGGCAGAAGTACTGAGTGATTGCTTTTCATTATTGTCACCTACTGGCTCAGGTTAAAAGAACCTACCGTAACCTGAATATATATATATATATATATATATACTGTATATATTTTTTTCCCACTGTTTTCCAGATAAAACATCCAAATACCAAATAACCTTAAAACAAGATCAGTTTACTTGAGAAGCATTTTTTGTCATTGCTTGTTTGATTTTTGCATAAACCTCACTATTTACTTAGACAAATACTCATGGACTTCCAGTGTTCCATTACATCTGATTGTGTGAATGGCCCATCTAGGTGACAACAGGAAAGCTTTTTGGCCCTGCACGCTTTGAGTTCACAATGACATGTGCACTTTCTAATGTTCGTCTCTTCAAGGTTGAGTCAGATTAGATATGGGATACAACAGGACTAAAAATACAACATGAACCGCTGTACTGAAACAATGGCCAGCTTAACCTATTTATTTACTGCTGTCACCATGGAAAATGGCCCAACCCTTAATCTGCTAGCTTAGCTTGTATTCTCAGATTCACCATAGTGAAATAAATATCACATCTGAGCCAGAAGTAAGTATGGATAATGAAGCATATAGTAACTGACAAAATAAAACAATTAATCATTTGTCATCTTTAACGACCAGTTGTTGATCATTAATCATGAAGAAATACATATAAGATTACATCTAAAAAGTGTGAGGAAAAAGTACTGAAATATTAGTTATTATATAATATTCTATTGTGTTATGTGCATTTTGATGCAGTTGATGCATCTTAGAATCTAACAATTACACATGGAACTGTTGTTAATTTATCTGTCCTTAAAAAGAAATTCAGTGCATTAATGTGTTAATTATGAAAAATGATAAAGGCAATAAAATATACATGTATGTTGTCATTATCGGCTCTTCAGCTCAATTAACTGTATTTGTGAATACTGAAAGAATGGAAAAATAATAAAGTCATTTTCTGCTTAATAATGTAACTTTTAATGCCAACTTGTAGCACACAAAAACATACATATATCCCAGTCAAACTTATACCATCTGAGTATGTTTTTTCTTTTCTTTTTTTTGATGATTATTATTATTATTTGACACATTTATATTCATCAAAATGAAATGAAATCATGCCAGACTATATTTCAAAAACACCTAACACTACTAAGGCATATTTTATTTTATTTTTCGACTCTTTAATGAAGATATGTCAAATCATATTTTTTTTAAGGAATAGATAGCCCAAAATAAAAATACTGTCATTATTCACGTATTATCTTTCCATACAGTGAAAATAAATTGTGGCCAGGGGCTGCCAAGCTCCAAATACACTGAACAAAATTATAAACGCAACACTTTTGTTTTTGCCCCCATTTTTCATGAGCTGAACTCAAAGATCTAAGACTTTTTCTATGTACACAAAAGGCCTATTTCTCTCAAATATTGTTCGCGTGCTACGGTGCGAAAAGTGAGTCTGTTTGGAAGTAGGGGAGTGAGGTGACGGACGCGAACAGTGGAATGAAGGGAGGTGCGTGCCCTGGAGCATGCCATATTACCGGTCTTCTAGTCAGTGCTGTGAACGAAGCTCTTGTTGTCCACCTGTACTCTTTATGCTCCAAGCTGAAGACCAGCTGCACACGGTATAAGCACAACGCATACACTACACACACGCCACATTCTTTTTTTTAAAAACGCTGACGTTCACACATTACACACACACACACACACACACGCTATGCACGTTATACAAGCAAACCCGTTACACATATGCATACATTTGTTTTTGTTTTTGATATTTGTTAATGTGTAACATGGGGAAAAGGGCAACTGGGTTGTAAATTCTAATAGTTATAAGTTTGCTCTGACCAAGTTATTCTCTTTTCTCATGTTGGGGTGTAGGGAGGGGCTTCATTGTGTCTGAAACTTAAGGTTTCATGGAAGCGAAATCGGCATTGAGAAAACGGCACTGCATCAACCTTACTCAAGCCGGGTTTCTGAACTTTATTTATTTTCTTCGGTTTCCCCCCCCCCCTGGTTTATATGGGGTGTTTAACTGAAATGTAAAACTGACTCAACCTGTCTTGATTGTATTAGATAATTATGTTGTATTTGACCCGTGGTTTTGCGGGGTAATAAATTTGCATATGCAAAGTATTGTATGTTTAATTTGATTCATTTCCTCTTCACGATCTTCATATGTACTTTGGTGGTTTTAATGAGTTATCCAGAGTTTATTTATTGACAGGTTTAAAACACCCTGTCTGACGCCCGAACAAAAGTATTGATTAAGTTTTTTTTATTTACTCTTAGGGCCACCACTGTTACAATAGAAAAAGTCTTAGATCTTTGAGTTCAGCTCATGAAAAATGGGGGCAAAAACAAAAGTGTTGCGTTTATAATTTTGTTCAGTGTATGACAAAAACCATTAAAAAAAATAATAAAAAAAACATGAAAGTATCATAACAGCAATCCATAGCTTCAGAAGACTTGAAATATAGATCATGGGATGTATGGACTACTTTTATGGTGCGTTTTAGATCGTGACAGCCCCTGATTTACTTTTGTTGTATGGAAAAGAATAAGAGCAGTGTCAGCACTCTTCTTCACTTTTGTGTTCCACAGAAATAAGAACATAATTCATGTTTGAATCAACAAAAGTGTGAGTAAACAAATGTAGGATTTAAATTTTGGGTCAACAATGAGTTGGCTCGGAAGGACAGCGGCTCAGAAAGGTCAACAAAGCCAGAAGACACTTCAGTCTCATTCCTTCAATTTTATATTTTCTCTGTCAAGAACATCCAGAAGGCCAGGTTGGTTTCATGAAGGGGCTCACTGGCCTCCTCCTGCAGCGTCAAACATCTTCTTTCTCCCCTCCATGCCAGACATGGCTTCCACATTCTTACGCCAATCACCTATCTCAGAGGTCAAGACCTGTTTGACAGAAGGGAACATTGGATTGTTCGATTTCAGATGGTTCAACTCATGGAAGTTGAGATTGAGATTGAAATTGAGATTAAAGAGATTTCAAAATAATAATAAAATAATCTTGACAAGTATAAAAACACAACCTACATTTACTTAATATGTAATATATTTTCTGTTCTGCTGCGGTTTCGCCACAGGATTCTCAGGTTACTTCGACTGAAGCGACTACTGAGTCGTGCAGCTACATACCACGGCTAGCAACGCAGTACTCATTCCCGTTTCTCAGGGAACCGAGGTTACGTTAGTAACCGAGTATGTTTCCTTTCGATACTACACTCGTACTGCGTCTGCTAGACGCATATGAGAACACAGTACAATCACACCGTGCTAATATAGTTAATGCTGTTCAGTTGCTTTGACACAATCTGTATTGTTAAAAGCGCTATATAAATAAAGGTGACTTGACTTGACTTGACGACTAAAAGTATAGAACTTCCATAAGCAACCAATGCCCATAGAGGAGTTAACAACAACCCAAGGCTAAAACGGGCTGAGCTTCCTGAGGTCACACCTGGCCTGGTTAATCATTCCAAAGTACTCCTGTAACTTCGACACCCAAGGGTCGAGAGCTAACAGGTGAACCGATGCCAGAGAGCTTGAGCATGATATGGTAAAGTGCTCTCCGCCAGATCTGTTTACGCAGCACATGTCACTTCAAGCGGAAAGGACCCTGGCCTGCAAGGCCGGGACTTCCAGGTTATAAAACCTTGCAAATGTGGATGGCGAGGCCCAGCCGGCCGCCTCACAAATATCC